GTATTCTCTGGCATGCCTGGGATGATCCATAGTATTGACACTGTGGCAGTGCAGCCCACCCCCTGGTAGGCCAGACCGAACCATTGGAAAGGTGCAGGAGCAAATTCTTAAAGAAATGTAGTCTGCTGGATATCGGGATAAATAAAGAGTCTGACAGTTCCTGGGCCTCTCCTCTTGTGTTGGTACCTAAAAAAAAGATAAGACCAAAAGGTTTTGTGTTGAATATAGAAAACATAATGGAACAGTGGAAGTGAATGAGGTATTCTTCAAGCAGGTAACATGATTAGCTAATACATATGAGCTAGTATTAATGGGGGATTTTAACTTCCCTGATATCTGTTGGAAGATTTATACAGCAAAACATATGTCTTGCAAGTTCTTAGCATGTGTTGGAAACAGCTAGAGGGGCATCCATTTTGGATCTGGTTTTGACCAACCAGGATGAATTAGTTGTGAATGTGAAGGTGATTGGGAACTTGGGAGGAAGTGCTCATGATCCTATGGAAAGGAGGACATGAAAACGCAAAATAAGAACACTGCATTGCAAAAGGTAGATTTCAATCAACTGAGAGACACAGGAGGGAAGATCCCATGGAGACACCAATTAGGAAGAAAAGTAGTCGAAGCGGGCTGGCAGTTCCTATAAGGTGTAATACTAGAGACTCAACATCAAGCTATTCCAATGCAGAGGAAAGATAAGAAGAGCCACAGGAGACCAATGTAGCTGCACAAGGAGCTTTTTAGTTACCTAAAAACCAAAAGGGATGCATACAGGAAATGGAAGAAGGGGCTGTAACAAAGTTGGGATTTTCCCTTGTTATGTTCTATGTGAGTCTTACTGTTTTGCATGAATGCTGTGTGTGCCTCAGTTTCCCTGTGTATTGCACAAATGTCTAGCTGGTGGGAATAAGCGTGTGTGACTTTTGTGGGGCTTGCTCCAGCTGCCTGCATGGATGCTATGGCTGCCCCTTCATAACCTGAGACCCAGGAGGGTGATGCGACCAGGTGACTCTTAGCCCAGGAAGTGAGACAAAGGCCAGAGGAGAAGCAACGTGCAGGGCAGGGGCCAGACAGCTGGAAGAGAGTCAGTCTTGACTGGTTTGGGACTCTGGGCTCCCCTCCCCACAAGATGGACTTGGCTGAAAGTCACTGATTTTTGTGCTAACAAGTTCTGCCCTATGCTGTGTTCCTGTCGACTAATAAACCTTCTATTTTACCAGCTGGCTGAGAGTCACTGCTGACTGTGGAGTTGGGGTGCAGGGCCCTCTGGCTTCCCCAGGAGCCCTGCCTGGGCAGACTTACTGTGGGAAGTACACGGTGTGGAAAGGGATGCTGATTGCTTCGAGGTCAGACCCAGGAAGGTTGAAGCTGTGTAAGCTTCTTGCCCTGGAGACAGTATGCTCACAGAGAGGAGGCATGCTCCCCCAGAGTCCTGACTGGCTTCATATGGAGTAGTTCCAGAGCATTGGCCCAGTGACTCTGTGACAGGGGCATATCACCAAGGAAGAATGCATGAGAATAGTGTGAGCATGTAGGGACAAAATCAGGAAAGCAAAGGCAAGGATTGAATTACAACTGGTAAGAAATGTTAGAGACAACAAAAAGGCATTCTTCAAATATGTCAGGCAAAAAAGAAAGATCAGGGATGATGTGGGTCCACTGCTCAGTGGAGAAGGTGAGCTGGTAACAGAAGATAAGAAAGCAGAGCTGCTCAATGTCTACTTGTTTCAGTCTTCACACAAAAACCATGTAAATGGAGAACTAGCAATGGTAATTTAGACAATAAAGGGGAAGGACTGCAGATTGGGATAAGTAAAGAACACGTCCGAGATCTTCTGACTATTTTGAACGAATTCAAATCAGCAGGGCTGGATGCTATTCATCCCAGGGTGCTGCAGGAATTAGCTGAAGAAATTTCAGAGCCACTGGCAATAATATCTGCAAACTCATGGATGACAGGAGGGGTCCCAGATGACTGGAGCAGGGCTAACGTGGTGCCCATCTTTAAAAGTGGCGGGGAAGGAGGAGCCAGGGAACTATAGATCAGTCAGCCTGACTTCGATACCTGGGAAGCTACTAGACCAATGTATGAAACATTCTATTTGTGAATACTGGAGGATAAAGAGGTGATCACTAGCAGCCAGCATGGATTTACCAAGAACAAATCATGGCAAACCAGCGTGATTTTCTATTTTACAAGATAGCCAGTTTGGTGGACAGTGGAAATGCAGTGGACATAATACACCTGGACTTTAGAGACAGTTTCCAGGTATAAATTTATGTTTTTTGGCATCAACTTCCTTCCATTCACAAACAAAAGTTATTTTTTCAATTCATCTAATGTTTTATCCAATTTTAATTAATCCTCTTTGGAAGTGGCATTATTCTGTTCTGCAATGAGATCTACTAATAAACGGTTCCTATTTTAGATTAACTATACCACTTCTGGCAGTCATCCCACTGTTATCCCATGCTGCATTGCTGCATGTCCAGATTAGTCTGTGTATTTACCTCACTGCCCTAGGGCCATCATGACCAGCTGCCATCACCCCATTTAAATGCTTGCTCTTTCTCAGTTCTACTCATGGGAAGCTGACACAACTGGAGTCCCACTCATGGGAAGCTGACACAACTGGAGTCCCATGCCCATTACAGCAGATATGCACCATGTTTCTGTTTGATCCCATCTGGTGGTCATTCACTGCCTTGCTCTCTACGGAGATGAGCACACCCAATTCTATCCGAACAAGAATCACTGGATTGTCAGGATCTATAAGTGACTGGCAGAGCACAAGCAGGAGAAGGGTCACTCCTGGGAGATGGCCCAGTGCTGCACCAAAGCAAAGATGCTCTGTCAGAGCTACAAAAACACAAGGGATGCAAACAGGACCTCCAGCAATGCTCCCAATGCCTGCCCTACTATGAGGATCTAGGCTGGACTTTTGAAATGAGGCCACCACTGAATGCCAGCATGGGACTCTGGGCACTTTGGAGTCAACCCCACAAGAAAATTAGGTGACCCCAGATTCTGACTAGGAGAAGATTTTCTTAAAGAGCCAGTGCATCTTTGGCATGCCTGAGCCAGAGATCCAGGGGCTGGAGAGCCCCCAGAATCCAGGAGACCCATCCTGAGACCATAGGCACCAACTTTTCCAGGTACCAGTGGGTGCTTGACCTCCTGCCCCCACCCTGACTCCACCCCTGCTCCACCCCTCCTGCCTTTGCTCTGCCCCATTCCAACCCCTTTTCCAAAGTCTCCACACCAACTCTGCCCCTCCCTGCCCCTATTCCAGCCCCTTCCCCAAATCCCCACCCTGGCCCTGCCTCTTCCCCACCTCCTCCCCTGAGCGCACCATGTTCCCACCCCCCCCCCCAGCCCCAGTGCTTGCTGCTACGAAACAGCTGTTTTGCAGCGGCAAGCACTGGGAGCTAGGGAGAGAAGCAGGGACAAGGCGCGCTCAGGGGAGGAGGCAGAGGCGGAGAGGAGGAGGAGGTAAGCTAGGATGGGGGACTGGTGGGTGCAGAGCACCCAACAATTTTTCCCCATGGGTGCTTCAGCCCTGGAGCACCCACGGAGTCAGTGCCTATGCCTGAGACTGTTGTGGAGGGGAGCTCTACTAGAAAGTGTTATGTACTGTATTTCAATACAACTATATAGCTGGATTTAAACAACTTTGTTCCAGGTACTGGCTGGACAGATGAGAGTTATGACTCTCTCTCTCTCTGACTGCTCTGTCTCCTCCCCTCACCCCCCCATCTTGAGTGGTAAAAAAATGGCCCCCATGCCAGAGACTTTAAACTCTAAAGGATTTATTTCCCTGAACTATGAAACCCCTCAACTAGTGGCCAAACATGCCATACCCTCAACCTGTTTTCCCATTATGCTTATTGCTCACCCTTTCTCCCAGACCCCTGCAGCCCTCCCTCCATCTTCAGTGAAGATGATGGCACTGTGATGGTTGAAAAAATGTAACATGTTACAGGACAGGCATGTTTATTGTAGCAGAAGATACAGAAAGAGAAAAAGCAATAGAAAAAGTCATGTGGCTCACAGAGTGGCCAGTGCCCTGAGCTATTAGCTACCTTTCCTTTTTCAAACTCTTACTTATATGAAGATAATGGCACAATTAATTAGATGGAATTATGAATTAATTGCTTCTCATCTAACTAGCTCAGGAAAACCAGGAACTAATGTTCTTAACCTGCAGCAAGGGAGATTTAGGTTAGATATTAGGAAAAACTTTCTAAATATAAAGGTAGTTGAGCTCTGAAATAGGCTTTCCAAGGGAGGTGGTGGAATAGAATCATAGAATATCAGGGTTGGAAGGGACCTCAGGAGGTCATCTAGTCCAACCCCCTGCTCAAAGCAGGGGCAATTCCCAACTAAATCATCCCAGCCAGGGCTTTGTCAAGCCTGACCTTAAAAACCTCTAAGGAAGGAGATTCCACCACCTCCCTAGGTAACCCATTCCAGTGCTTCACCACCCTCCTAGTGAAAAAGTTTTCCTAATATCCAACCTAAACCTCCCCCACTGCAATTTGAGACCATTACTCCTTGTTCTGTCATGTGGTACCACTGAGAACAGTTTAGATCCATCCTCTTTGGAATCCCCTTTCAGGTAGTTGAAAGCAGCTATCAAATCCCCCCTCATTCTTCTCTTCTGCAGAATAAACAATCCCAGTTCCCCCAGCCTCTCCTCATAAGTCATGTGTTCCAGTCCCCTAATCATTTTTGTTGCCCTTTGCTGGACTCTTTCCAATTTTTCCACATCCTTCTTGTAGTGTGGGGCCCAAAACTGGACACAGTACTCCAGATGAGGCCTCACCAATGCCGAATAGAGGGGAATGATCACATCCCTTGATCTGCTGGCAATGCCCCTACTTTTACAGCCCAAAATGCCATTAGCCTTCTCGGCAACAAGGGCACACTGTTGACTCATATCCAGCTTCTTGTCCACTGTAATCCATAGGTCCTCATTGCTGGAGGTTTTTAAGAACAGGTTATGCAATTTCTTATCAGGTATGATCTAGGTTTACTTGGTCCTGTCTCAGTGCAGGAGGCTGTACTTGATGACTTCTTCAGGTCCCTTCCAGTCCTACTTTTTTTATGATTCTATGAATGGACTAGTGTTATAAAACTGAATATAAAATTGAAACAGCTATGAGAAATAATCAGAATGGGATTCCATTAAATATTCATAAACCACATCAAGAGGTTGTTTGCCCTAATTAAGAATAACTAGTAACTAAAAATTATTAACATAATTTAAAAGCTAAACTTAAAGCAATAGTATCAGAACATAGAATCATAGAATACCAGGGTTGGAAGGGACCTCAGGAGGTCATCTAGTCCAACCCGCTGCTCAAAGCAGGACAAACAACCAAGTATAAACTCAGTAAAGCAAATAAATTACAACAATTATACTTCAACTTGATATTCAAACTTTTAAACTAACACTGAATAAAACTAGATAGGCTGGGTAGGAGAATATAACTGAAAGTATTGTCAATGTAACAAAAACTAGCAAAACCATTGCTGCTACTTTTACTTCTGTCTCAAAAAGGTAGTATTTTGAGGCTAAGCAAGATTTTTAAGGCAAAATCAGAGTCATCTGATTACTACAGCTCGAAATTCAGCAGAGTTTAGATAAACATGTCTAGCTGGAAATTACTACAATGACATACAAAAGTGGGGGTACAAGAATCACCCAATGTGATTATTATACAACAGTGCAGAGCAGAGAGGATTAGTTTTGATTTAGTGGAGCTAATAGGCAATTTTACAAGTGTGAAAATTCAGAAAGCAGTTTGATTAACCATGGTATTCAAATGACAGCTAATCAAGCAGGCTGAGAGAGTATTCTTAGAGTTAACAGACAGGAAGATCCTGGTGATTGAAGTAATTGGCAGAAAAGAGAGAGAGCTTATTAAACATAATTCTGTATACCAATGAGTAAACACTGTTCAAGTGTAGAAAGAGAACTATCACAAAGTAACCTACTTTTGGTATTTAAAATAGACAAAGATAAACTAGTTAAGTTACCACCCCAAGGGTGAAATGAGGCTAGTGTGGAATATAAGGTATTATCACATTTGTTAACTCTTGTAGTTAAAAACACATCACACAATTAAAATTAGAATAAAAGTATTCTAAAATTTAGAACATAAATATTGACTAAAGATGTTGAAGTTAGAAGATAGCTTTTCTCACTCCCACATAGAGTGTAATGTTGTAAGGGAGAGAGATCTAAGGCTTGAGCTACATTAGGAAATTAGGTTGGTCTGACTACATTACTCATTGGTCTGAAAAATCCCTCCTCTCTCAGCTGCACATTTAAACTGATCTGACCCCCCGGTGTAGAAAGTGCTAGGTCAAAGGACGAAATCTCCCATTGACCTAGCTACTGCCTCTCCAAGAGATGGAGTACCTATGCCATCGGGAGAAACTCTCCCATTGATGGAGGCAGTGTTTTCACTGAAACACTACAATATTTTTCATAGTTGGGTGGAAGTTGTTGGAAAATACCAAAGTCATATAAGCCTAAGTAAGAGTTCCTACTGTCCCAAGAGTCTGGATTTATGGAATAGATCTGAACTCCAATGGGTTCAGTGTTCTAAGGAAACAATAATTATGCTCTGAAAGAACAAATTCTGACTTCATTCAAAGTGCATAAATTCCCTATGGAATTTTAGCAACAAGCATGGATTTCCTAAATCCTTCTGCACTTTTTACTAGGTGGAATTTCTCACCCTGCCTTCTGTTGTTCAGTGTGAAGTCTCCTTCATGGTGGGACTTAGGATTCTGTCTTCAAGGAAACTTAGAGAGTCAATGGAGGAAAGGAACTGGACTCAATTACCTACCTTATGGGGTGGTTGCCTAACCACAATGCTGCAGAGTCATTCCAACTCTCTCTCTCTCTAGCCAAAGGACTCTTTTAGTATTTATATCCAGTGGAACTGTTTCATAAGGAGAAACTGAAGGATCTCTGTATCAGACTAACCCATAGTTTCGTGGCCAGGGCACACTCACATGAGAGGTGACAGATACCACTCAAATCCCTTTGTTTCATCAGATGGAGGGGGGACTTGAAGTCGGGGAGGTCTCCCACATCCTGGGCAAGTGCCCTAATGATGGGGCTAAAAGTTATGAGTGAGATCCTCCTTTCCCACCACAGCTGTTTTGTCTGAACACACCAACTGGCTTGGATGCCATCAGCAGAGGAGTGTCTAACTTCCCCAGTTCATGAATCAGAAACAGAGATAGGTGCCTATCTCCATGAGATGGGCAGGGCTTAGAACATACCCTTCTCATTGGCATCTCCTACCGATTAGCTTAGGCAGCTCCCCACCTAATGCAAAGGCTTTTGTGAATCACATTCTAAGATTAATTCTCTTCCCCTTCATTGTATAGGGAGCCTGGATATCTAACTTGGGCTTTGTGGATCCCAGTGTTGTTCCTGTGAACAACCTAAAAGTTAGGCATTATAATTATCTGAGTGTCACAATGGTGGATTTGGGCCTAAAACACTATCAAGAATAAATGAGAAGTCATAGTATATAACATAAAGATTGTTCTAGATGTGTAACACCTGAATGGAGCATGATCAGTGTTCAGAACTTCTCAAGAAGTTACAATCTAATCCCATTCTAGCCTCTTGCTCTGTACAACTCTGTCCCAATAAAGTGATTTCATTTTCTGTTTTAATAACTACCCATTGCATATCCTCATTACATGGCTATTCCAACCTAGTCTGAAATTCATGGGAATTGGAAAAGGTCATCCCTAACAAGGGCACTTCTATGATGTGTGTCCTTTGTGGAATTTCTTATGAGGTTTAGGCTCTGCCAGAAGCATTTCCCACAGTTGGGTCACTTATAGGGTCTCTCTTCCCTGTGGGTTCTCTGATGTGATAGAAGATGTGAGCTCACACTGAAGCTTTTTCCACACTCCCTGCATTTGTAGGGTTTCTCTCCTATGTAGATTCTCTGCTGTTGACTAAGAGTTGAGCTTCAACTGAAGATTTTCCTTCAGTCAGAGAAGATATAGGGCTTCTCTCCTGTGTGGATTGTATGATGTATAATAAGGGCTGAGCTCTGACGGAAGCTTTTACTACAGTCCATACACTTGTAGGGTCTCTCTCCACTGTGGATTCTCTATTGTGTAGTAAGGGCTGAGTCGTTCTGAAACTTTTCCCCCACTCGGGACATTGAAAGAGTTTCTCCCCCATGAGATTATTTGGTGAATAATAAGGTTTGACCTCTCTGAAGCTTTTCCTGCACTAGGGGCATTCATAGGGTCTCTCTTCTGATGAGATAGGACCTGTGAGCTTTGACTGAATCTTTTCTCACACTCACTGCATTTGCAGTGTCTCCCCCCATGTTGATTCTCTGGTGATTAGTGAAATCTGAACTCTGAAGCTTTTCCCACAGTTGGGGTAGTTATATCATTACTTTCCTGTGTGGATTCTCTGATGTTTAGTAAGGGATGAGCTGTGACTGAAGCGTTTCCCGCAGTTGGGGCAATTATAGGGTTTCTCTCCTGTGTGGATTCTCAGATGTCTAATAAGGTGTGAGCTCTGACTGAAGCTTTTCCCGCACTGGAGGCATTCATAGGGTCTCTCTCCCGTGTGGGTTCTCTGATGTGATAGCAGGTGTGAGCTCACACTGAAGCTTTTCCCACACTCATTGCATTTGTAGGGTTTCTCTCCTGTGTGGATTCTCTGGTGAGTAATAAGAGTTGAGCTCCTACTGAAGTTTTTCTCACACACAGGGCACTCATAGGGTCTCTCTCCCGTGTGGGTTCTTTGATGTGATAGAAGCTGTGAACTTTGACTGAAACTCCTCCTGCACTTGGAGCATTCATAGGGTCTCTCTCCTGTGTGGGTTCTCTGATGTGACAGAAGGTGAGAGCTCACACTGAATCTTTTCCCGCAGTCACTGCATTTGTAGGGTTTCTCTCCCGTGTGAATTCTATGATGTTGAATAAGGGTTGAGCTGCAGTTGAAGCTTTTCCCACAGTCAGGGCAATTATAGGGCTTCTCTCCTGTGTGGATTGTATGATGTGTAATAAGGGCTGAACTCTGTCTGAAGCTTTTCCCACAGTGCAGACACTTATAGGGTCTTTCTCCTGTGTGGATTCTCTGGTGAATAATAAGGACTGATTTCCAAGTGAAGCTTTTCCCACAATCCCCACAAGTGTAGGGTCTCTCTATAGTGGGGTTTCTCTGTTCAACAGTTTCTTTGATTTTCTTGACCCGTCTGCTTCTGAGAGTCGATTTAGCCCATCTCTCCCCTGAGTGGTTTTCCTGCTGCCTCTCTGGCCTGTGCTGGCTCTCACAGATGTCTGGCTCCTCAGGATTCTGGGAAATGTCCTTTTCAGCTCTTCCGGATACCATCCCATGTAGATCCACTTGCTCAGGACCTTCCTGCTGAGGATTCTCCTCCTCATTCTCACTCATCATCCCCTCACCTTCTGAAATAGAGAGAGAATCCAGACAGGAGTCAGTCTCAGTGCTGGGGGGAAGGGAACAGGAAAGGGGATCAAAACCAAATAAGTGCTAGGGCGATTAAAATATCAGCAGCTGAATCCTATTAACCCTCTGTGATCCTAAGAGCAACCCAATGCCAGAAGGCCAGGGGCTTCCTCTAGCAGTAAGTTTCAATTGGTCTGGCCATCTCATGCACAACAACTCACTATTGTTATACAGGAACTCCTCACTTAACGTTATCTTGGTTAATGTTGTTTCATTGTTACGTCGCTGATCTATTAGAGAACATGGTTGTTTAAAGTTGCGTGATGCTTCCTTATAACATTGTTTGGCAGATGCCTGCTTTGTCCACTGCTTGCAGGAAGAGCAGCCCATTGGAGCTAGCTGGTGGAGGCTTGGAACCAGGGTGGGCCGACAGCCCCCCATCAACTCCCCTAAGTTCCCTATGCAGCAGCCACCCAGCAGGCTATCAATTGCCGGGCAGTTCAGGTGTACCTCCCCACACTGTTGTGTGCTGCTTCTGCCCTCTGCCTTGGAGCTGCTCCCAGGAGCCTCCTGCTTCCTGTGCAGGGGGTGGGCGGGAAGAGGGGTGCTGATGTCAGGGTGTCCCCCTCCCCCTGCCACCCTCTCCTGTATCCCATCTCCACAGAGCGGGGGGCATGAGACAGGGCTCAGGATGGAGGGAGCTTGCTGGCAGCAACTGCTATCTCAACTTGCTGATCTACTTAAAAAGGCAATATACTTAGAGTGGGGTCAGCATACTTAAAGAGGCAATACGCATCTTTCTCTCTCTCTCTCTCTCACACACACACATACACACAGTGTGTGTCTCTATCTCACACACACATGTGCCCCCCCCAGCACTTTGGAAAGTGGAGGGAGTGGTGTGCTCCAGTGGGATAGCGTGGGTTCATCATCATCTTCAGTTCCACAGGGAATGTTTGTAGCCACTGCCATGCATCTATTGTGTCTCCTCCCTCCATTCGTACTGCCTTGTAGAGTGTGAGGCTACATTAACAACAATATGTTAACCCTTGAGGGCTCAGCCGAGTGCTAGTTCATCATTTAGCAGCAAGGCATTCCCTGGGACAGGTCCAGCCTTAGGATTTATGGGGCCCTATGCAGTATTATTAAACTGGTGCCCCTATGCCCAATGGCAGCCCGAGCTCATAGCCCGGGAGAGGGGGTAGGGATGAGTCAGCAAAGGATATCGAGCTGCCCGGCCTGCCTCACAGCGGCGGAGAGTCACAGTTCCCCACAGAGACCCCCATACCCTCTCCTTCACGCAGAATGCACGGTGCTGGTGCATTTGATTTTGTGAATATGGTCCCTTCCTAAGGAGACTGCAGCGTGCATTGGGTGTGCAGGAGCCAACCCACTCTTACCTGCTGTCATGGGCAGTGGGTGAAGCTGCCACTTGGGGAGGCTAGCTCCCCAGCCCACCTCTTCTGCATGTGGCCCCACCCATATTTCACCCCAGCTCTACCCCAGGCCCCACCCTCTCCCCACTGTCTCCCTCCTCTCTTCCCTCCCCCTCCCTGCTCATCCCCTTCCAGCCAAATCCCTGAACCCAAATGAAGCAAATGACATTTGAAAAAAACACTCTTCTGCAATTTCTTTCTAAAGAAAATGGAACATGTTTTCCACTGCAAGCCAGATGGTGAAGACTCAACATGCAGTAGGTACCTAATTAAAAGCACAAAATTTAGGAATAAAACATGTCAGTCACAGGTTTTTTGATATTCCCTTAAATTTGTCAGAGATTTATTTGCAAAAACTTTGTAGTAAGAGCAAGTCAGCTGTCCTGCTGAATACAACATTAAATATTACGGAATACTGATGCAGCTCTTCTCTGTTTCACATTTTCTTAATCAGTATTTCTAAGCCAATTTGATATTTTAAATGTACTCTTAAGCCTTCATAAAGTAATCATTCCAGATTACTACATATTTAACTCTCTGAAACAAAGATGTTATTTTAAATTAATCAGTCACAGACGTTTAGTGTGTCCATAACAATGTTCATTGCTTTTAGAAAAAGGGAACACTAATTTACTTTGTGTGATCTTCATAACAATAGACATGTTTATGAAATTTCACCAACTTTAAAAAATATGTTTCCAAAGATTTTAGGCATAACAAAGGATTTTATATTTTACTAAGGTTCTGATTTTGCTGGAGGGTTCTCTTAAAACTAGTTAATCAAATAGTCAGAAGTAAAGAAAGGGAAACTTGTTTGTCCAGCTACCTGGAAGGAAAGGGGTGTTGTCCCTTTAAGTGCTCTCTTCAACAGGGGGGTGAAGGGAGAAAGGGATGGACAGAAAGGACAGGAAGACTTTGGAAGCAAGTTTTTTTCACTATAGTAATTAAAATTAAAATAATGAGGAGTACTTGTGGCACCTTAGAGACTAACAAATTTATTTGGGCATAAGCTTTATGCCCAAATAAATTTGTTAGTCTCTAAGGTGCCACAAATACTCCTCGTTCTTTTTGCTGATACAGACTAACACGGCTACCACTCTGAAACCTAAAATTAAAACGTGTATTTTAGATAAGGGTGGTCTTTTGAATTATTTATTTAAAAAACTATATGTCTGAAGATACAGGCATTTAAGGCTAAAGATGAATACTCAGATTGTGCATCTAAAAATCTATGCAAGGATTTTTTTAGAGATGTGATTTTATAATCTTCAGCAACACACTAATGAAATATTTGTAAAGCAAATTTTAAACTAAGGCCCTGTAGACTAACATGTTCTGAGTAAATATTACAGTCATGTACAACTGTTTTTGTCAGTAAATTCAGAAACTGACTGTATATATCTGGGGGTTGGCAAATGCCTGTTAAATGGCTTCATTACCACTTGAATGGCTCTTTGAACAGTTTCAATGAACAGTTTCATTGAACAGTTTCAATGTTGTGCTAATAGGTCTGGCAGGCTGGAGGCTTTTTCACTTTTAAGTTACTAGATCCCCTCTTGAGGAAGACTCACCAGGCTGCAGCAGCCAGCTGTGGTGGGTGCTTGCAAAAAGGGTCAGAACAGGAATAGGAAGAGGCAGGAGGGTGTACATTAAGATCCAGGGGTGCCCCAATTTTTTGGGTGCCCTACACAACCACATATGCTGTATATGCCTAAGGATGACCCTGCCCTGGGAAATGTACCACCCTCTTCCACCCTCTGACTCCACAACCTCAACCAGGCTTCACAATCATCATTGCTGTGTACAGTATTAAATTGTTTGTTTAAATTCATACTGTATATTTATATATATAAAAATAGTCTTTGTCTG